TTCGTGGCGAGCGTGTGAGCAGTTGCATCACTTCAAGTGTGACGGCTTTGTGGGTTGCGTCTTTCATGCGTGTCGGCTTGTGAGTTGCGTCATCGTGCGTGACGGATTGGTATCTTTTCCGGTGGATAGATGGCGCCACGACTGCTGTGGTTCTCTTTGCACAGCCAGGGTCACCAATGAAGGAGGATTAGAATTGGGCTCCTTCCAATCAAAAAACGAGTATCTTAGCCATCGTGCGAAAACGATCGTCATCACATGGAGGCTATTACTGGTTTATATAGATATCACACCACCAACACTTTATAGTTTCTAGGATTCCCGTAGAGTGCATGTGAGAGGAAAGTTTACCTCGCACTGAAAAGTTGCACGAGGGCTATTGGCGATAGACCTCGTCATTTTAAACCATGATCAAGGGACGTGGGCAACATCTGAGCTGGCATCCCTCTCCCTCTTATGGTGGGTCTTCAGCGTTTCTAGACTCGAACTCATGACATACCAACTCCCGATTCCGTGTTCTTGATTACTAGACTACCGTAACTCGAAGAGTTCGGAGAGTCGACAAAGTTTGAAGATCACTGTTTTTAAAAACACCCCCTACTCCTTGAAAGTCTGTACGACACTGCATTTTAATGTGCATCTGTCCTATTAAGCGATGGATCCAAGAGCGTAGCTACCACCGTATCAGTTGTATTAATGATACGGGCCACCTAGCTACAGGGACCTCCAACATGTGTGGCATGATACTTTCAAATAAGAGTTTTATCGTTTATTTATATTATTTTATCACGCGATCATTTTGTTTTTCAGAAAAGGGCCCCCAAAGAATTTTGATACGGGGCCCAATGAGGATTAGCTACGCCACTGGATAGGTCTGTCGGGAAATTTGGAACCTGACACAATGAAAAGAAAAACGCCATCAACGAGTTCACGACTATGACAGAGTGAGTTAGTGAGTTAATATTAACGTCGCACTGTTCAGCTACACGAGGGCTTTTCGACTATGACAGAACAATCCAGGAATGTGTTACAGCAAGAAAATGCTTTAGAACAAAAGAGAGAGAGAGAAAGGCAGTATTTTTTTGCCTTTTAATGCAACAAATGCTGACTTTTTCTGCATTTTATTGTTTCGCGTATGAAATAACCAACATCACAAAATTAAAATAATAAATTTATTTGTATCAAATACTGGAACTTTTCCGTTCACTGGCGCAGGAGAATAAATTCGTTAAATATGATACAACCGACGCCAAACGAAATATTCCCGCTGGTAACCTTTTACCGCCATATTTTCAAAACAAATCAGGGTCTTTACTTATCAGCAACGTCTTTTTCATAACACATCAAAAATGAATGAAAAATCAAGGAGATCTAATATTTATTAATATTTTTTTGTTTATATTGTGTGCTGTAGCCAATAACGCCAACTTGGCGAGATTTGCACCGACGGAAGGGAAAAGTACCAAAAAACTTTCTATAAAGTTTTAAAAACTTTCTATAAAGTTTTTTGTTACTTTTCCGTTTCACAAATATTCATTCTAAAGGAGTATTCGTTACTTAACACAGGCCCTGTAGATTAAGGAACTCATTACAAAATTCAGCGCAATATTAAACATTTAAGCACCATCGGAATAAATATTTTACGATATATGACACTACTTTAGAGCTTATACATAGAAAAAGAACAGCAGTAATGTTTGAGAAACATATTCTTTTAAGCGTATTACCTTTTAAGAGCTTGAGTAAAGTAAAATTTTAGAGTGCTTTCTTTTTTATCAATAATAAAACAATATCCACATTGGTGGCTAAAAATAAATCATATGAATAAATGTGGATTCTGATACTAATTTAGAAAAAAATTAGTGGACTGTACGCTTTAAATCGAGATAAAAATATTAACCAGATCATTAAAAATAGAATTTCGACAATAAGAATCTTAACAGTAAGAATTTCCCAAGAACAAAGTTTCAACATACCTCACTTTATTCCATAATTCGATTCGAATAAGAACATATCGCGAGTTACCAAAAAAGACCAAAAAAATATTTTACAGATATTTTACAGGAATAGACACGCGTGATAAAAATAATTAAATGCGTTGGAACGGCTTCACTTTATGAGCCAACAACGTGTGTGTGTTCAAAGCTATTCATTTCATTTCTCGATTTTATGTTGCAAATTGAGAACCCCAAAATAAAGCAAATAAAATTATTTAGATGATACTCTGTAATTTTCAGATATAATCAAGTGCTAATGCTTAAATTATTTTTTTAGAAATACTATGGATCTTTTAGAAACCAGTGCATACAGAAGTTGCTCAAAATGCGTTTCTATATACGTACAAATTTACCTATAGCAGATTATACAAAGCTGTCAGTTAACTCATAGAATTGTTTTTATGATACCACGCTTCTCATTGTAAAATCTTAGCTTTCAAGTTGAACATAGTAATACACAGTTGTGCCCACAGGAATTTTTCAAGAGGGGAGGGGTGTCCAGGGTGCCATGCTCCAATACGCCACCCAACATAACCTTTTGATTTTGTCGATTTTGGGGAACAAAAAACAGTAAAAAATTAATTATTGAATAAATAATTAGAATTAATTAATAAAATTAATTATTAATAACAAATACTTAATTAAATTTTACGTACTTAATGCATAGGATTATACAAAATTGAAAAAAATAAAGGCCTTTGGGGGGCCCCCTTTGTGTGCGCCACTGGTATTACGCCATCATTTTGATTTTCGAAGTAAACGTTTTTTTAAAATGCTACAAACAATTCTTATTTTTTGATGAAAATGATCTATAATTCGAATAAAAAAAAATTCATTTGATCATTGTAAAAAAAAAATGTTACAAAAAGGTTTATCCACAGTATAAGAACATAAAAAATTATTTATAGAAATTTTTTATACGTATATTTACTATGCATTTAACTCATTGCAAAAAAAAATTCATTTATGATTTCCAATAACTTTTGTGGCAGATAGTTTGAAGATCTTCGTTCTGAAGCAAAATTAATTCGTCAACCTACCCATCAACCAATTTTTTTCTAAGTTATCCTTTTAAACAACAGATGGCGCCACCATTTAGAGTTTTGCTCAATAAAGGGAAAAGTGTAAATTTATGGGTGTAGTGTAGGTTAACAATGGGCAATATGCAGATTTAACATCCATTTGAATACAACGTTGTTTTGAAACAGCACATTTAGGTCAATGGGAGTAGATAACATTTCCCCTTTCTTTTTGCGGTTCAAAATTTGCTGGTGTTTCATACATGCCATTGAAGGCTATTTTTCAAACAATGATATTTCTGCGTCATTTAGTATTATATACTGTGATAAAATATTTAAAGTGATCTCGTTTTCGATATTTCTGCAAAATTTTTTATTCTGATATTATTTATTAAACTTCGTTTGATTTGAATACATGTATTTTGGATATCAAACTCCCTGAAGTTTTTCACACTTTTGTCATTTTAATAAGTAAATAATAAAAATTTATTACCTCTCTTTAAATTTGTCTACTCGTGAGTAATCCATTTTCCAATTGTGTTACAGTTTATACCTGCGTTTACTAAGAGTGAGTCAATTTTAAATGCAAAATTGCTTTTTAATATTTTATTTCCTTAAAATCTTTTTTATTTAACACCACAGGCCCACATAGTTCCTAAAATTCTTTCGAAATTTTTTAACAAATACGTTTTTGGTTGAAAGTCAGGAAATATGGTACCAAAATAAATCCTGATCTCATCTGATTGTGTGTGATTTCTAATTATTTTATTATAATCTTATTACATTTTTTATATAGCTTCCCTCTTCTTTAAAATATATTTAGCGTTTTTTAAAAAAAATTGATTCTCTAAGAGATTGTATTTTAGCTTTTCCAATAAATTGTACCAATAAAAAAAAATGCAAATTCCAATTTTCTTTCCTTTTTAGATTGATTCGAGAAACACAAAAAGGGTTAATATAATACTATTTAATATTTCATAGATTTTTGTAAGTCAAGGGTAATTCTCCTCACGAAAATCACTTTTTCAAAAAAAAAAAAAAAAAAAAAAAACTGATGACATCTCGGTTTCACAATTTTATTTACTCATTTTAAACAATATCCTCCACACTCAGCACGATTTCTTAAACACATTTTTAAATGAAACCCTTATCATTAAGATGACTGTCTACCTTGAGAAAATGTCGTTTTTCGTCTACATAAAGCATTTTTATTTATTTCAAAATCTTATAGTTTGAACATTTTTCTTTCCAAAACAGTTTTTCCTTTACGCGAAATAGAAATAAAGTTATAGTGATTTTTAAACAAACATCACTCTATGCAAAAGGGCAGTAAGATAAAACTTTAAATAAGTTTTTCTCAAAATTATGTTTTCGAAAGAAACACTTTACCAGATACATGATATCCTAAAAACCCAACCAAATAACATTTTGAAATTTTGTGGGAATGTTTATATTATACTATTTTTCATAAAGTGGACCATAAGTTTTGTTGAAGTTAAAAATTTTTTCATTTAGTGTAGTTTTTATAAAGAAAAAAAATTTAAAAACATAAAAGTTTTCATATTATTATGTATAATTGTCTGTAATTTTTTTGGATTTTAATATTTCTCTTAGATTTTGGTTCATTTTGAAGAGCACCATAATATGTATGTTGTGTATAAAGAAAATTATGATAATTGTATTAGAAATTTTTATACAGTGTTACCCGTTTTAGTAAAGTTCCCTTGAAGAAAACCAATTTTTTTCTAAAAGCACAATATTTATTTAAAATTTTTTATGTATCTACATATTATTTTTTTATTTTTCTTCCTAAAAACTTTCAATTTGTTTCAAAAATTTGTTTTCATAAAAAAAAATTGGGTCCGAAGGTAGGCAAATCACCACAAGTTCGATTGACAAACATGATGAAAGATTTTTTTATGTATTTTAGGGCAACAATAGATAAAAGAAAAATATTGAGAAAAAGTAAAATATAAAAGAAATATGCCAACGACACGCGGAGTTCCCAAGTGGTCACTCTCCCAAGTACAGACCGTGCCCGATGTTACTTAACTTCGGTGATCGGATGAGAACCGATGCTTTCATGATGGTATGGCCGTTGGCAGGCACAAATGCGTTGTTTGCCATTAAATGGTAATATTAAGGACAACTAGATGTCCTTAATATTAGGGGCCGTGGGTAACCTAGTGGTCAGAGCATCGTACTCCAGATCGGAAGGCCTAGGTTCGATGCCCGATGCCACCAAATACCCTCCGAGTACACACGGAATACGTGCTCTTTAAATCAGTGGGTACGAAAGTCTTGTGGGCTGAATCACGAGTGCAGGAGACTGGAGAATATTTCCCTCCCCTCCAGTCCCATGTCAAAATTGTGGAGGTGGAGGTAGGTGGTGTCGCCATCTCGTTCCTTCGGGAATTTCACCGAGCTAATTCGTACTGTCACCTGTGGGGTGGCCAAGGTCAATGACAGGCGTACTTCTAGCCCCTTGCCACGATGAATTTCGTGGGTCGCGTTCTGACTACGTAAGACAGGTGGCATTAGCCACAACAACAGATGTTTTAACAAAAAGAATATTGTACTTATGATAATTTTTTAAACTTATGCTGTCACCAATAAAGAAATCAATTTTGAAAAATCTGTTATTTCGGTGTATTGTTTGTCTTATAATTAGAGTTGCATTAAAGTAAAACTCGCATAAAAAATTTAACAATCTTTTGTAATTGAGAATTAAAAAAATATACAGAATCAAATTATTATTACGAATTTTATTACAGCTATGGAAATCATGTTTTTCGAAAAATATTTCTTCGTCATTTTCCTTCTTGGCAATTTTTTCTCTTTTTTTTCTCGCTTTGTGTGTGTGTGTGTACCATTAATATATTTATCATTCAATTTTTTCCCCCCATAATGTATTGGCTTGAATAAAATATGTTTAGTCAAAATAACAACACACACACACAAAATATATAGACACATAATATATTGAAGATAATTCATGTTTGCTATTCAAATGTTTTCCATTATCCTTTGCAGAGACATAATAAATAATAACTTGGATGATGGTTGTATTTTTAGATCATTTTACGAGCTGGTGTCTTTTAAAAAAATAAGTTGTAACACACACGTGAGAGATTTTTAAAAGTTTTATTTATATTCCAGCTGTTCCTTGAATGGAGTGATAAGCATAAAACTATAAACTCATCGTTAGTAATATGTTTTGCTTGTTGCAAAATAAACCATTGTATGTTTTTTTGAAATGCTATATAAATTTATAAATATTACAGGTATTGATACAAATTGACACGAAAACAACTATGAATTTTAGAATTTTTTTATTACTTTTATTTCAATAAAGCTTTCGATGCATAAAAATATTAAAGAAATGTTTTCCTACGGGATAATAAGCCATCCTGGATAAAAGGTATTGAACTTATTTTGCTTGCTACGACATCGTAGGTGTTATTTGACGGGGAGGGGAAACAATAACGACGCTAATTTTTCTTTTATGCGCTTCTCTCGCAGCTAATTTTTTCTTCATTCAACATTTCATTTTCTAAACAACATTAAATTTTTATTTTAATGTGTTTTTATATTATAAAACTGATTAATTTCAAAATTTGAATTTTAAAAAAAATGTTGATTTTTTTAAGAGAAAAGTATATGTATGGGGGGGAGGGTAATTTTTTTTAATAAGTTAAATAATTAGGGTAAGAAAAAAAATCGATGTATTAATTGGAATAAACACGTTTCTTTTAAGCTTTTGTGTGGTTAGTTTTACTGTAATATCTTAATTAAAAGTAAAATTAATTTATAAAAGTCCCTTACCAGAAAAAATTGTTTTTAAAATATTGTTCAAATTAAATGAATATAACGAATTCATGAATTCATTTGAGGAATGCTGAAGTATTATACATATACATAATATTATCTTATCTCAATTGACTTTTTACTTATTAAATTAATTATAAATAGAAATTCTATTAGACACAATTACTAAAAACAATATTTGCACTAAACCATAAAATTCACGCCATGAACCTGTTACGAAATTTTAAGAATGGAAAGTCATAGATAGACAAGATATCTCTTAAAACCTTGGAAATTATCATTGTAACAACTGGACAGAGATAGTTCAAATGGATATAAATTGTACAGCTTTAATAAGTTAATTAACCTAAACAACATTATCCCTAAAAAGTGTAATTAACCAATGTAATTAAAACTTATAAATTAATTAACTTTATTAGAGATAATTATGTCATAAACAGTGCGATTAACTTAATGTTATTAATTTGTTTATAAATTTATTAACTTTATATAATTAACCTATGAAATAATTAACTTAATTAAATTTTCAATGGACATTAATTAGCCTAATAAATATGGTAAATTAGCTTAAGAAACATTACTAACTAGCGCATAAATGCATTAGCTTAATTAAAATCAATGATCTTATAAACTCATTAATTTAATAGTTATTAACTAATTTGTAAAATTATGAACCTAATTTACTACTTAACCTATAAATTAACCTAATTGCTGCTTTTAATAAACTAATAATTTTATTAACCTAATTAATATAGAAAATTAACTTATTAAATTACTAATTAGTTTATAAATACATTACCTTAATTAGAATTAATGGTCATAAATTGATTAACTGGTCTTATAAATTATTAATTTTTATTAGCATAATTAATATATTGTTAATTAGCCTATTTAAACACCTCCTCCCGTAATGTAATCCGAATTTTCGGCTTCTGATTTCGCAATTTAAAATTAAGTACGACTTCGACTTTCCTTAAAATATACTAAATAAATCTAAAAATCCCCATATCTCCATTTTTTCAAAAAAAAGTTGTTGCAAGTAGTCGGATACCGTTATGGAAGGTGTGAAGGGCTTAAAAATAAATCTTTTATTGTTGAATGGAAAATCGACGAGAATTAAGGGACGATATTCTAATTTATAAATATTATTTTTATCGATCCATATATCTCAGTGTTAAGAAACAGATAAAATGTTAAAAATCGTTTGTTAAGTAGTTTAGTACATGGAGTTCGAAAGGCAATTTCCCAAATATATCTGGAACTAATGATCGGATTCGAATAAAATTTGGAATGATAAGCGCTTAAATCCATTCTAAGATTTGAAAAATTAGTTTTTCTTAAAAGTTATTTAAGCACGCTTAATAATTTATTAATCCATTAAAACAAGAATTAAGCTATTAACAGGGCCAATTTTGATGAGGAATGTTGTAAATATACCAAGACCACCTTCTTCTGATGATCGTATAAAGAGGACCACTCAAATATTTAAAATTTCATCTTCTCGGATTTTTTCCCCCGTCATTAGATTTACATATACTTAAAACTGTTTTTTAAAAAAAGAAAAGTCTAAAATAGACGTAATTTTTTTAGCCTTTTCCCACCCAGTTTACATCATACATATTCGTTCCAGATATGCACAAATTTCTGTCAGCTGAAGCGTGAAATGAAGTGAATTGCTTCTTTTTTCCCATTACATCAGTAAGTCTCTCTCCATAATCCCTTTCACTCAATAATCCCCCCTTTCCTCACCTCTATTCTTTGAAGCCAAATGAACTCTGAAAGACTTTCTTCGGTCATAGGCATTATTCAAACATTATTTACTTCAAAAGTCATTAATCTCTTTTTCTTTCTTTCTTTGAAATCCATCTTAGTGAGTTATTTTAAACACTGGAAACATTTCCATCGACACAATCCATTTCTATAGTGATGCCAAAAAAATAATAAAAGAGTTAGCTAAAAAAAGTTTAAGCAATAAGTTCATGTTTTACATCCAATCAGAGAGCAACCTCTTAGCTCTCAGTCAAGCCAAAAAACTCTTTAAAACTCACCACCCAGATGAAGAACATAAGCCACGCCTCCCGGATTCCATCGCTCAACCAATCACCAACATGCCACTCAGCAGAATGGAAAACACCACTTTTGACAAGCCCAGCATCATAGACTCTCACGATATGGGATTGAGGACTGTTTTACAGTCCGGACGCCCAAAAGAAAACGCCTATTCAACGCCTATTCTACATTTGCGTATCTAACATTATTTCTCTTTTATTTAATTCTGACATAAGGTATTTCATAGAAAGGTGGCACGACTTACTCAATGTAAAGAAAATTAATATTTACTTATGTGTGCATCGTTCAAGTATTTATTGACAAATATTGTTTCCATATTTGTCAAAATAGCCAGGAACATTTTAATGACCATTTTTACCATGATTTTAAAAAAGCGCATAAATGGATAATTTTCATGATATTTAGTGTCATTTAGATTAGAGAATACATGTATAAAATAGTTTTAAGGACATTATAACGACAAAAATGATTTAAATACAATATTTTGGCAAAAAATTAACTTAGAATACTCTTTTTCAAAACGTTCTCCTTTTATAAAAAATACTTCTATAACAATAATATTTAGCTAATATAAAGTAGACTTCTCCAGAGAATCTGAACAAGGATTTTTGAAAAATTCACATTTTCAGAGTTACCGCCATTTGAAATAATTATCGGCGTTTTTTCTTAAAATTTCTCCCCCTCTGTTGTAGTAAAATATGGATATATAAACCCACTTCTAAGTTATTTATTTCAAAAATTCTAATTCAGCCTCTGTACAGAGGTCTGAGCTATAGAAAGGCACACAAAATATTATTATAATAGAAGCATTTTTCATAAAAAGAGAATGTTTTGAAAATGGGTCATTCTATGTTCATTTTTTGTTAAAATATTGTACTTAAATAATTTTTTATTGTAATAATATTCTAAAAACAACTTTATATATATGTTTTCTAATCTAAGTGACACTAAATATCAAATATTATCTATTTATAAGTTTTTTCAAAATTATGTCTCCGAACGTAGTCGGATACCTTAAGGTATGAGCGAAATGGGTCTGGGGAAGCGGGGCGAACGGGAAGGGGGAACTCGTATCGATTTTGCCTCGCTCTCAATAAGAGCCAATGGCGTAATGTACACTCCCGCAGCCCCCGCATCGCGAAGGGGGCCCAGAGCCTGACTGCCGCCAAGTATCTACCCTTTGTAACAATCCAACTTAGAGG